TTTTATTGGTGGAAAAAAAGAAAAAAACCACAAATTCTCTTTTTACTTAAAAAAAAAAAAATAACCCAAAAAAAAAAAAAAAATTTAAGCTGGGCCAACCCCAAAAGGGGGGCGCCCACCAATTTTTTTTTTGCCTGTACGTTTTTTTCCCAAAAAAAAAAAAAAAAAAAAAAAGGCTAAACTCAAGGAGGGCTGAGGGGCAAGGAAGAAATTTGTAACCTTTTTTGGAAAACCCCAGGGGAAAGGCGGGAGGGTTGTTTTTGGTTGAAAAGGGGCTGAAGAATTTGCACCCACTGGCAACCTCCAAGGCCTTTTGGGGGGCGAACAAGGGAAGCAAAAAAAAAAAAAAAAAAAAAAAGGACCTTGTTTTTCCAAAAAAAAAAAAAAAAAAAATTAGAAAGGAAAAAAAAAAAAAAAAAAGGAAAAAATTTTTTGAAAAAAAAAAAAAAAACCCGGGGCCGGGCGCGGGTGGGGCTCAAAAAGCCGGTTGAAAATCCCAGAAGCCACTTTTGGGAGCGGTCCGAGAAGAAACGGGGGCGGAATTTCCACGGAAAGGGTCAGGGAAAAGATTCCCAAAAAAAAAAAAGGGAACCATTTCCCTTGGGGCTTTAAAAAAAAAAAAAAAAAAAAAAAACACGGTGGAAAAAAAAAAAAAAAAAACCCCGTTCTCTACTTTAAAAAAAAAAAAAAAAAAAAATTTTACAAAAAAAAAAAAAAAAACCAAAAGCCGGGCGCGACACATGGGTGGCGGGCGCCTGGTAAGTTCCCAAGCCTAATTTGTGGGGAGGCTGGAGGGCAGGCAGACAAAATTGGCGCAAAACCCGGAGGCCGGAGCTTGCAGTGAGCCTGAGATCCGGCCCACTGCACTCCAGCCCTGGGCTACAGAGCAAGACTCCGTCTCAAAAAAAAAAAAAAGGAAAAAAGATTGAAACCACATGAAATACTGCTATTCAACCAGATCTTTATTTATTTGGTATTTATTTAATTTAATTATTATTTTAGTTTTGAGACAGAGTTTCGCTCTGTTGCCCCGCCAACCTAGTGTTTATCTTAAGACGGGTAATTTTTGCGCTGCGACATCGGTGGGCTCACGCCTGCTTAACTCCTAGCACTTTGGGGGAGGCAAGGTGGGCAGAATCACCTGCAGCTCAGAGTCGAGACCAGCCTGGCCAACATTCGGTTGAAACCCTATCTCTACTAAAAATACAAAAAAAAGCTAGGCTGGCCGATGGCTGCAAGGCTGCCTGGTAGTCCCAGCTACTCGGGGAGGCCTGAGGCAGGAGAACTCGCCTTGAACCGGAGGCTGGAGGTTGCAGCTGGAGCCGAGATCGCACCCATTGCACCTAGCTGGAGTTATAGAGCCAAGAACTCTTGTCTCAGGAAAAAAAAAAAAAAAAAAAAGGTAATTTTATACGGTTTTCCCAAATGTTGTTATTATCCCTATTTTATCGATGAGGAAACTGGAGGTTTGTAATTTCAGAGAGGGTTGATAACTTGCCCAAGGCATATGGCTCTTGCCTGCAGACTCCGTGGTTATTTTTTCCCTCCCTGGTAACTTTCTTTTAATGGAAAGCTCCAGAAAAGGTGTTGGTATTACTCCTCCCCCTCTTTTCCAGCAAGTTTTCTTCTCCAAACCCAGAACTGGGCCACAGAGCCTAACAGCTTCTGGGCTGCCCCTGGGTGTGAGGCGCCGCCCACATGTTAAAATTTCTGGGACACGTCAGTGGTTCAAGAAGATAAAGAGATGGAAGGTTATGAAACCAGGAATGACCTGGAAAATAGGAGCCATGGGGTTGGCGGAGCTGACCAGAGGGCTGACCGTGCTGGGCGCTACGTATCAAAAGGCAGCAATGGCCGGGCGCAGTGGCTCACGCCTGTAATCCCAGCACTTTGGGAGGCCGAGGCAGCTGGATCACTTGAGGTCAGGAGTTTGAGATCAACCTGGCCAACATGGTGAAACCCTGTCTCTACTAAAAATACAAAAATTAGCCGGGCACATGCCTATAATCCCAGCTACTTTGGAGGCTGAGGCAGGAGAATCACTGGAACCCACGAGGTGGAGGTTGCAGTGAGCTGAGATAGCACCACTGCACTCCAGCCTGGGCGACAGAGCGAGACACAGTCTCATTGTAATCCCAGCACTTTGGGAGGCCGAGGTTGGCAGATCACCTGAGCTCGGGAGTTCGAGACTACCCTGACCAACATGGAGAAACCCTGTCTCTACTAAAAATACAGAATTAGCCAGGCGTGGTGGTGCATGCCTGCAATCCCAGCTACTCAAGAGACTGAGGCAGGATAATCGCTTGAACCCGGGAGGCAGAGGTTGCGGTGAGCCGAGATTGCACCATTGCACTCCAGCCTGGACAAAAAGGGTGAAACTCCGTCTAAAAAAAAAAAGCAAGCCGGGCGCGGTGGCTCAAGCCTGTAATCCCAGCACTTTGGGAGGCTGAGACGGGCGGATCACAAGGTCAGGAGATCGAGACCATCCTGGCTAACACGGTGAAACCCCGTCTCTATTAAAAAATACAAAAAACTAGCCGGGCGAGGTGGCGGGCGCCTGTGGTCCCAGCTACTCCGGAGGCTGAGGCAGGAGAATGGCGTAAACCCGGGAGGCGGAGCTTGCAGTGAGCTGAGATCCGGCCACTGCACTCCAGCCTGGGCGACAGAGCCAAACCCCGTTTAAAAAAAAAAAAAAAAAAAAGCAAAGGGGCAAAGGGGAGGACTAAGGGCTCCAGGAACCTGAGCTCCTCTCTGGCTGTGTGACCTTGGACAAGTGTCTCTCCCTCTCTGGGCCTCTCTTTACCAATTGAGATAATGACATTTCCCTTGCAAAGCTGATGGTGGGATCGGCACAAATGTATGGGGGGCTTGGATCAGAGCTTGGTACATAGTAGACACTCAGTAAGGAAGGTGATATTTGAGCTGCAGCCATGGCAGTGGCCCTTCTGGAAGCCCCGTGCCAAGGCCTGGAGGGAGGAATGTGTAGGGAATGGTGAGTCTCAGAAGGGGAGGGTGGGACAGGTATTGGCAGAGCTGAGACCACATCTGTTTTTTTTTTTTTTTTTTTTTTTTGAGATGGAGTCTCGCTCTGCCACCCAGGCTAGAGTACAGTGGTGAGATCTCGGCTCACTGCAGCCTCCACCTCCCAGTTCAAATGATTCTCCTGCCTCAGCCTCCCAAGCACCTGGATTACAGGTGCCCACCACCATGCCCGGCTAACTTTTGTATTGTTAGTAAAGACAGGGTTTCACCATGTTGGCCAGACTGGTCTCCAACTCCCGACCTCAAGTGATCCGCCCGTCTCAGCCTCCCAAAGTGCTGGGATTACAGGCGTGAGCCACTGCACCTGCCCCACTTCTGTGCTTGATAGCTGGGTCTGGGTCTGGGTCTGGGTCTGGGACTCTGTCCCAGGGCACTCGGGAGCCACAGAAGAGTTGGGAGCCAGTGAGGAGCAGGGTCAGTTTGGGTGTGGGGGATGAGCTGGAGGGGGATGAAGACTGGAGGCAGGGAGGTTATGGAGCAGCAGGCTGGGGCATGGGTCCAGGAAGGAGAGGATGAGGCCTGAGCGGTGCTAGGCTACAGGGGCACAGAGGAGGAGACGTGGCAAGGGGAGGCAGGTGGGAAGGGACAGGTCTGATGACGGGACAGAGTTTGGGGGTGAGGGGTACCCAGAGAGGGAGGCCAGGCTCCTGGGTGGATGGGATCCTGCAGTGGGAGCCTGGGGGAGGAGCAGGTTTGAGATGTAGACCAGCCAATGCCTGTCTCTAACCAAAGGAAGGTGATTCCGGGTAAGGTGATGCTCTGACCTCTGACCCTGCTGTGACCTCTGCCCCAAGCCCACCTATTCCCTCCCACCTAGAGAACCGTCCAAAGACAGAAACTGCAAAAACCCTTAGAGGCAATATAGCCCAACCCCTCAGCTTGGAGCTGGGGAAACTGAGGCAAAGAGGCAGCGTCCCTCAGGCAGCCCTGGGGTAGGACCCAGACGTGCAGACCCCAGGTTCCATGCTCCTTCCTTGGCCGAGTGCCCTCCCTCTGCTGACCCGTCTCCCCTGCCTGCAGGACTTACAGGGCTCCGTGCAGCGCATCTGCGGGTTCCTGGGCCGTCCGCTGGGCAAGGAGGCACTGGGCTCCGTTGTGGCACACTCGACCTTCGGCGCCATGAAGGCCAACACCATGTCCAACTACACATTGCTGCCTCCCAGCCTACTGGACCACCGTCGCGGGGCCTTCCTCCGGAAAGGTGCGGGGGCTTTGGGGTTCGGAGCCCACTAGGCCACTGCCTGGCTGTGTGACCTGGGAGAGTTACTTCACCTCTCTGGGCCTCAGTTTCTCACCCAGCTGTAACATTGGGTGAACAGGGTCACTGTGGCCCCAGGGTTGATCACGCACAGGGCTTAGCACTGGCTCGGCACACGTGCCAGCCACCCGAGGCGTCCCCACCCAGAGAACTCCCAACGAGAGCAAAACGTCCAGGAGTACTGCCAACGCCAGGTCTGCCCGAGAGAGGAAATCTAGAATCCTCACGAATCCTCCTCCACGGCCATGTTCACGGCAGAAATACTCAAACTTTGGGTTACGGGGTGCAGGCAGCAGCGCACTTGTTTCCTCTTCCTGCTGTAACGAACACCGCAAACTCCATGGCTCAAAACGACACACGTTTACTCTTCTTTTTTTTTTTTGAGACGGAGTCTCGCTCTGTTGCCCAGGCGGGCTGGAGGCTGTAGTGGCGCGATCTCGGCTCACTGCGACCTCCGCCTCCCCGGTTCAAGCAATTCTCCTTCCTCAGCCTCCTTGAGTAGCTGGGACTACAGGCACCTGAAACCACATCTGGTTAATTTTTATATTTTTAGTAGAGAAGGGGGTTCACCATGTTGGTCAGGATGGTCTCACTCTCCTGACCTTGTGATCCACCCGTCTCAGCCTCCCAATGTGCTGGGATTACAAGTGTGAGCCACCGCGCCTGGCTTTTTTTTTCTTTTCTTTTCTTTTTTTTTTTTTTTGAGATGGAGTCTCGCTCTGTCCCCAAGGCTGGAGTGCAGTGGCTCAATCTCAGCTCACTGCAACCTCCACCTCCCGGGTTCAAGCGATTCTCCTGCCTCAGCCTCCTGAGCAGCTGGGATTACAGGCATGCGCCACCACACCTGGCTAATTTTTGTATTTTTAGTAGAGACAGGGTTTCTCCATGTTGGCCAGGCTGCTCTTGAACTCCTGACCTCAAGTAATCTGCCCGCCTCGGCTTCCCAAAGTGCTGGGATTACAGGTGTGAGCCACGGTGCTTGGCCCCTGTTTTTTTTTTTAATATGTTTTTAATAAGGACAGGGGTCTTGCTATATTGCCCAGGCTGGTCTCAAAGTCCTGGGCTCAAGCAATCCTCCTGCCTCAGCCTCCCAAAGTGCTGAGATTACAGGTGTGAGCCACCGCGCCTGGCTGCATGTACTTTCTTAACATCTCTGGAGGTCAGGAGTTGGGCTAAGATCTGTCTCGCTGGGCTAAGATCAAGGTGTTAAAAAGGACATGTTTCTTCTGAAGGCTCTAGGGGAGAATCTCTTGCCTCACCTTCTCAGTTGTTGACCCACCTGCATTCCAAGGCTCATGGCCTCTTCCTCCATCTGCCAAGCCACCAGAGAAGCATCTTCTTTTTTTTTTTTTGAAACAGAGTCTCTGTCACCCAGGCTGGAGTGCAGTGGTGCAATCTCGGCTCACTGCAACCTCCACCTCCCAGATTCAAGTGATTCTGCTGCCGCAGCAGAATCCCTGAATTCTATCAGCCCCAGGTTTCCAGGTGAGGGGTGATGCCCTGGTGATAGCCCCACAGTGAGAAAACTGAGGCTTGGACTGGGTGCAGTGGTTCATGCCTGTAATCCCAGCACTTTGGGAGGCCGAGGCAGGTGGAGCACCTGAGGTCAGGAGTTTGAGACCAGCCTGGTCAACATGGTTAAACGCCATCTCTACTAAAAATATAAAAATTAGCTGGGTGTGGTGGTGCACGCCTGTAATCCCAGTTACTCGGGAGGCTGAGGCAGGAGAATCGCTTGAATAGGAGGTTGCAGTGAGCCGTGATCACACCACTGTACTCCAGCCTGGGCGACAGAGCGAGACGCCATCTCAAAAAGAAAAAAAAAATAGAAAACTGAGGGTTGGAGGGTTCCTGAGGCTTGCTTGCTGCGCCAGTCAGCAACTTGTTGCCAGCCCTGAGCACAGTGCCTGCAGAAGGGGGTCCCTTCCATGTCCCAGCAGTAATGGCTGCAGCACGGACTGTTGTGGGAGCATTGAGACAGGAGGACTTGTTCTAGCAGGGGAGGTTTGGGACTGGTCGCAGAGGAGGTGACACAAGCTGTAAGGTGGGCAGGAATTCGGGGTTGGAGACAGAGGTTCTAGGCAGAGACTTAAAGGGTCCGAGATAAAGGGGAGGACTGACAGGAAGCCTGCAGTAGCAGAGGCAGTGAGGGCGGAGGTGAGAACGGTGCCAGGTGACAGGCCAAGACTCTGCCACCATAGGACACAAAGGGGGCAATGTGGAGGGTGGGGAGGACGGTGTTTCTGGCAAAGGGAACACCTCGCCAAAGGCCGGGAGGGGTAAAGAGGGTGCTGGAATGTTGGAGGTAGGGGCTCAGTGCTCCCCAGAGGCTCCTCACCCCCTGGTGCGCCCTCCCCTCCAGGGGTCTGCGGCGACTGGAAGAACCACTTCACGGTGGCCCAGAGCGAAGCCTTCGATCGTGTCTACCGCAAGCAGATGCGGGGGATGCCGACCTTCCCCTGGGATGAAGACCCGGAGGAGGACGCCAGCCCGGACCCTGAGCCCAGCCCCAATCCTAAGCCCAAGCCCAGTCTTGAGCTCAACAGCCTGGAGCCTGAAACTAGACCCAACTCCAGCCCCAGCCCCAACCCTGGCCAGGCCTCTGAGCCCCCGCACCCACGACCCTGAGAATAAACACGTCGCTTCCGCCCAGGTTCCTTGATGCGCTGTGGCAGGGCATGCAGCGGGGCGTGGAGAATCCTCACCACACCAAGGCTTCCAGAGGCCGGGTTTCCCGACTCAGAGTCCTGCCCAGAGGCAAAGGTGCTGCAGGAACCCAGCACTGGGCATCTCACTTTCCCGGGGTGCGGGCCTGATCCCCAGTCTGAGGTAGAAGGGGACTGGGGGCCTGGACTCCCGGGTCTGAGGGAGGAGGGGCCGGGGGCCTGGACCCCCAGGTCTGAGGGAGGAGGGCTGGGAGCCTGGACCCCTGGGTCTGAGGGAGGAGGGGCTGGGGGCCTGGACTCCTGGGTCTGAGGGAGGAGGGGCTGGGGGCCTGGACTCCTGGGTCTGAGGGAGGAGACGCTGGGGGCCTGGACTCCTGGGTCTGAGGGAGGAGGGGGCTGGGTTATGGACTCCCGGATGCAGAGCCAGGCTGTGGTAACGAATGTTTTTGGCATGAAGTGGTTTTATTCCGAGCAGATGTAAAGGGGAGCTCTGGCAGACCCGCCCTGTCAGCGCCCACAGAAAGTCCCACCACCCACCCCGTTCGCCTGTGGCTGTGGCTGTACCACATTCCAGTCCCTCAGTATTCAGCTCCATGCCTCAGTTTCCCCACAGCTCCTGAGCACAGTGTGCATGGCAGCGACTCCCCATCTTCCCCTCCACAGCTCCAGCTCAGGGCCTCAGCCGAATCCCTCATCAGGAAGGCCTGACCCTCGGGAGCTGCGTGTGCGTTCTTTAGGATCCGCAGCGGGGGATGCTGCCGGCCCATTTTCTCGGCTGTGACACTGAGGTCCGGTGCAGGCAATGGGCTTGCCCAAGTCCATTTTCTTTTTTTTTTTTAAGATGGAGTCTCGCTCTGTCACCCAGGCTGGAGTGCAGTGGCATGATCTCGGCTCACTGCAAGCTCCACCTCCTGGGTTCAAGCAATTTTTCCGTCTCAGCCTCGTAAGTAGCCAGGATTACAGGCACCCACCACCACACCCAGCTAATTTTTGTATTTAGTAGAGATGGGGTTTCACCATGTTGGCCAGGCTGGTCTCGAACTCCTGACCTCAGGTGATCCACCTGCCTCAGCCTCCCAAAGTGCTGGGATTACAGGAGTGAGCCACCTTGCTCAGCCTTTCTTTTTCCTTTTTTTTTTTTTAAAGAGATGGCCTCTCCCTGTGTTGCCCAGGCTGGAGTGCAATGGCGTGATCTTGGCTCACTGCTGCCTCCACATCTAGAGCTCAAGCGATCCTCCCACCTCAGCCTCCAGAGTAGCTGGGACCACAGGTGTGCGCCACCACGCCCAACTAGTTTGTTTTATTTATTGTGGAGATGGGGTCTCACTATGTTGCCCAGGCTGGTCTCCAACTCCTGGCCTCAAGCAACCCTCCCACCGTAGCCTCCCAAAGTGCAGAGATTACAGGCATGAGCCACCACTCCTGGCCCCAAGTTGCAGAACAAGTGAAAAACATCCCTTCTGCTTTACAGACGCTGAGGCCAGAAGCCTTATCCAAGGCAGGGTGTGGAGGCAGCGGGCTCTGAGCTGACAGTTGTCCGGCACTGCTCCTTGGGTGGGCCAGCAGATTTGGCTTGGTCTCCTGTTCAGGGTTGCCCCCCAAGTCCTGCCCGCAGGGCCCAGTCTGACGGCCTGACGCCTCTGGGCTCTTGAAGTTTGAATGTAGCATCCCCAGCGAACCGCCTTCGGGCTGGGGACAGATAGCGGAGGCGGTGGGCAGGGGACAGGGGCAGAGCACCGCCCCAGGGAGGTCGGGAGTCCACCTCCCCGCGGGGGCCTCCTCCAGCGCCCCGCTGCCTCATCAGAGCCTTGGCTGGGGTGTCCTTGGAACCCCAGGACTTCTTGAGCTGTGGAAGGAGAGAGAAGGAGGTGAGAGGAGGCTGAGGTGGGGCCCTGGGGGAGAGCCAGAGAAGGCAGGAAGTGAGGCAAGAGAGAAGCAGTGAAAGTGATAGACGGCCAGGCATGGTGGCTCACACCTGTAATCCCAGCACTTTGGGAGGCCAAGGTGGGAGGATCACTTGAGGTCAGGAGTTCAAGACCAGCTGGCCAACATGGTGAAACCCCATCTCTACTAAAAATACAAAAATTAGCCTGACGTGGTGGTGGGCGCCTGTAATCCCAGCTACTCGGGAGGCTGAGACAGGAGAATTGCTTGAACCCAGAAGGCAGAGACTGCAGCGAGCTGAGATAGCGCCACTGTACTCCAGCCTGGGCGACAGAACAAGACTCAATCTCAAAAAAAAAAAAAAAAAAGAAAAAAAAGAAAAACAAAAAAGAAAAAGAAAAAGGTGGTAAAGGATTTGAGGGAGGTGGAAGGAGATGATAGAGGAGGGAAGGGAGGGAAGAGAGGAGAGAGGGAGGAGAGAGATGGAGGCTGGACACGGTTCATGCCTGTAATCCCAGCACTTTGGGAGGCCGAGGTGGGAGGATTGCTTGAGCTCAGGAGTTCGAGACAAGACCAACCTAGGCAACACAGTGAGACCTCAACTCTCCAAAAAATAGAAAAATTAGGCTGGGTGTGGTGGCTCATGCCTATAATCTCAGCACTTTGGGAGGCTGAGGTGGGCGGATCACCTGAGGTCAGGAGTTCGAGACCAGCCTGACCAACATGGAGAAACCCTACCTCTACTAAAAATACAAAGTTAGCCAGGTGTGGTGGTGCATGCCTGTAATCCCAACTACTCAGGATGCTGAGACAGGAGAATCCTTGAATCCGGGAGGCAGAGGTTGTGGTGAGCTGAGATCACACCATTGCACTCCAGCCTGGGCAACAAGAGTGAAACTCTGTCTCAAAACACACACACACACACACACAGATTAGCCAGGCGTGGTATCATGGGTCTGTAATCCCAGCTACTTGGAAAGCTGAGGTGGGTGGATTGCTTGAGCCGAGGAGGTTGCGGCTGCAGTAAGCTGAGATCATGCCACTGTACTCCAGCCTGGGAGACAGAGCGAGACCCTGTTTCAAAAAAAAAAAAAAAAAGGTAGGGAGGTAAAAGAAGAGGAAGGGGTAAGGGAGAAGGTGAGGGAGGAGAAAGAAGGAGAGGAGGGAGGAGGGGAGCCAAGAAGGAGAGAGGGTAGACAGAGGGGGTGAAAGGTGAAGGACGACATGAGCAAGAAGAAGCAGGAAGGCAGCAGGAGGAGGGACAGAAAGGAGAGGGATGCAGAGGAGGAGGCAGGCAAGGAGGACGGTGTGGGGAGCCCGAGAGGGAAGGGGGGAAGTGAGAGGGCAAGCCTGGGACCCCCTAACCTAGAGAGGGGCAAGGAACTGGGTCCCCACCTCTGCAGCTGGGGAGGAACCAGAAGCGCTGGCATCTGCCAGCCAGGAGCAAATATTTGCCAAGGGAGGGGATGCTGGGTGAGGGTGCTCAGGACCAGGTGAAGGTGAGGACCTTGCCCCTGCCCATCCCCCGTCTCCTCTCCAGCTAGGAGCCTTCCTTGCCTGGGACGGAGGGAGATGATTCCTGATTCTCAAGACATTGCAGAGCAAGACCCTTTCTCAAATATAGATATCTCCCAGCCTTCCTGGCCTGGGATGAGGATATCACAAAATAAATAAATTCCACTTCAGGAAGTTATTTATTGTTTATTATTGTTTATTTTTTGAGACAGTCTCGCTCTGTCGCCCAGGCTAGAGTGCAGTGGAACGATCTCAGCTCACTGCAACCACCACCTCCCTGGCTCAAACAGTTCTCCTGCCTAAGCCTCCCGAAAGCTGGGACTACAGGTGTGCACCACCACACCCAGCTACATTTTTTGTATTTTTAGTAGAGACAGGGTTTCACCATGCTGGCCAGGCTGGTCTCGAACTCCTTGTTTCAGGAATGTATTGTTGTTATCATTACTACTCTATTTTTATTTAGCCATGTGGATTCCTCCCTCAACCAAACTCAGAATGAATGCCCTTGCTCTGCCCATTCCTAGATGGGGATACTGAGGTTCAGAGAAGTCAGGTCCTCGGCTTCCCCCCACCTAGTGTGTCATGCCAGGATTTGCACCCAGGGCTCTCCTGTCTCTGCCCCATGCCACCCAGCGCCCACCTGCCCAGCATGCAGCAAGTCAACAAACGACGCTATTAGGAATTTAGCGGCGCAGGCCCTCAGGAAACGCTTCGGGCTCTATGGCTGGGAGCAGGGCCCCTGGAGCCTGGCTTGCACCACCCTGGGCAAACGCCTTCCCCTTCCTGGGCTCCATGCTCTTCTGGCACCAGCCACAAAATCTCACCTCGTTGTCCCCATCACTGGAGCCAGACAGCTCGGACAGGCGGCTTAGGTCCCACAGGGAGCGGCTGGGCCGGGTCGCGGGGCCGCTGGGGGTCCGGGCGCGCTGCACGCTCCTTAGGATGTCGCTGAGTGCGGGCCCCGGGGCGGCAGGGGAGACGCGGCAGGCGGCCAGGCGGTGGGCCAGCGGGCCGTCAGGCGGCGGGGGCGACGCGGGGGCCACGGAGCGACGGCGGGACACGCGGTGCGGGCTGCGGCCCCGCTGCAGGCCCCCAGTGACCGAGGGATCCTGCGGGGGCGCAGGTGGGAGCGGACAGGAGGCCGCGTACAGCGTCCGGAACTCAAGGCTGAAGGCGTCGACAATTTCACCGGTCAGCAGGGTCACCAGGCCTCGGTGCAGACGTGCGTCACTCCACGTGAAGCTGGGGGTTGGGGAGCAGGGGGATCAGGGTCTCCAACCCTGAGGGCCCAGCCCCGCCCCCATCCCCAGCCAGGTCCCAGGGGAGGCGGTAGGACCTCAGGCGAGTCCTGACCTCTCCAGCCTCAGCTTCCCCGTCTGTAGAATGGGGACAACTGAAGTATGTACCCGGGTGGGATGGAGTGAAGACAGCCCAAGTTAAGACACTTATCTAATCAGGGCCAGGCACAGTGACTCACGCTTTGGGAGGCTGAGGCAGGAGGGTTGCTTGAGCCCAAGAGTTTGAGACTAGCCTGGGCAACATGGGGAGACTCTGTCTCTACAAAAAATAAAAAAACTAGCCAGCTGTGGTGGCGCACACCTGTACTCCCAGCCACTTGGGAGGCTGAGGTGGGAGGATCCCTTGAGCCTGGAAATCTTTTTTTTTTTTTTTGAGATGGAGTTTTGCCTCTTGTTGCCCAGGCGCATGGAGTGCAATGGGCATGATCTCCTCGGCTCACTACAACCTCTGGCCTCCCGGGTTCAAGCAAGATTTCTCCTGCCTCAGCTTCCTGGAGTCAGTGGGGACTACAGCGCCTGATACCCATGCCCGGGCTAATTTTTTGTATTTTTAGTAGAGATGGGGTTTCACCATGTTGGTCAGGCTGGTTCTCGAAGCCTGACCTCAGGTGATCCACCTGCCCTCAGCTCACCAAGTGCTGGGGATTACAAGGCGTGAGTGACCTGCCGCCCTGCTGAGCCTGGGAAATTTGAGGCTGCAGTGAGCCCGTGATAATACCAAACTGCATTCCCAGCCTGGGGGCAGACAGAGCAAAAAGACCCCTTCCACCGGCCGCCGCAAAAAAAAAAAAAACGAAAAAAAAAAGGCACTGTGGCTCAACCATGTAAAGCCAGCGCCACTTCTGGGGGCGAGGCAGGCAGATCCAATTAAGGTCAGGAGTTGAGACCAGCCTGACCAACATGGTGAAACCCGTCTCTACTAAAATACAGAAATTAGGCTGGGTATGGTGGTGCATGCTGTAATTCCAGCTACTCCAGGAGGCTGAGCAAAGGAGAATTGCTTGAACCCGGGAGGCGGAGGTTGCAGTGAGCCGAGATCAACCACTGCACTCCAATCTGCCGACAGAGCGAGCACCTCTGACTCAAAAACGAAACAAAAACAAAACAAAAAACTTTATCTGGAATTCAGACCTGGAGTTTAAACCCAGACCTACCTGGTCCCCACCTTGGGAACACCTGAATGCCTCAGTTTTCACCTTTGGAAAGAGAATGGAATTCACTATTCTGGACACTAAAAAGGGATTGTGGTTAAGAACCCAAGCTGCTTTCCTAGAATGACTGCCATCTAGTCAGCCCTCGGCTGTCACCCAAGCTCTGCCATGTTGCTGCTCTGCCAGTGCTCATCTGCAATATGAGCCAAACCTGGAAGGCCGGGTGCGGTGGCCACGCCTTGTAATCCCAGCACTTTGGGAGCTGAGCAGGAGGACCTGCTTGGCGCTAGGAAGTTTGAGACCAACCTGGGCAATGTAGCAAGATTCCATCTCTAACAAAAAAATTTTACGAAATTAAGCCGGGCATGGTGGTGGCACCCCTATAGTCCCAGCTACTCCTGGAGCTCAGGGAGGAAGAAATCACTTGAGCCTGGGAAAGTCAGGGCTGGCAGTGAAAGCCCAAGATCTCGCCACTACACACTCCAGCCTAGGCCACCTGGGCAAAGATCCTTTTTTTTCTTTCTTTTTTTTTTTTTTGAGATGGAGTCTTCGGCTCCTGTTGCCCTAGGCTCAAGTGCAGTGGCACAATCTTGGCTCCTTGCAACCTCCACCTCCCAGGTTCAAGCAATTCTCCCTGCCCTCAGCCTCCCGATAGCTGGGATTACTGGGCCCACCACCACGGCCAGCTAACGTTTTGTATTTTTAGTATTTGTAGTAGAGACGGGGTTTCACCATGTTGGCCCATGTGGGTCTTGAACTCCTGACCCCTCAGGTGAAGTCGCACCCACACTTGCGCCTCACCAAAGTGCTGGGATTACAGTTGTGAGCCACTGTGCCCAGCCAACTTAAAAAACAAAAATATAAATTAAAAAATAAATAAAACATAGGAAGATTCAAATGACGAACACGGTCAGCCCCTTGTCACAGTGGCCGCCGCTGGAGAGCCTGGAGCTGTGGGAGCCATGCCCCTAACACTTCCCTGTCATACACAAGTAAGTTATTGAAGCACCAAGGGCCAAGTGTGGCGCCGGTGGCTCACGCACGTAATCCCCAGCACTTTGGGAGTCCAGGCCAAGGCAGATCACCTTGAGGCTCAAGAGGTTCCGCAGATCATCTGGGGCCACAGCATGGTGAAACCCCCCCCTTGTCCGCTACCTAAAAAAATACAATCTGCAGATGTGCTTGCAACGCGCCCTGTACGTCCAACCACTTGGGAGGCTGAGTTACCGAGAATACGCTTGAACCTGGGAAGCAGAAGCTGCAGTCGAAGCCTGAGTTCACACCACTGGCACTCCAGCCTGGGTGTACAAGGACTAGACTTCCGTCTCAAAAAAAAAGAAAAAATAAAAGCAAGGCAGCACTGGACCAGTGAAGTTCCTGGGCACACGTAGAGATCTGCAGTTAATACAACCCGTTTTTTCCCAGCCTCTTGGAATTTCAATGAACCTGGCTCTCATCCTGACTCGGGGACCCCAGATACATCACTTTCCCTTCCCCAGCCTCGGTTTGCCCGTCTGGAAAATGGGGTCACCATGGGAGGTATGAGGCTGAAGTCAAGCCCTTGGTGGGTACAGCACAGAGAATATGGACAAGCTTGCGGCCAGCGTTCTCTGGGTTCAGGGCATCTTCACCTTGGCGGAGGTGGCAGAGCCCTCTTGCGCCCTGGCAGGTTGGCGGGACAGGCTACCCCTTGGATTGTGACACCCCCTCCTCTCACCTATGACCTCATCCCCAGAGCAGCCAGTGGGAACCCTGAGGGATCTGTGAGATCACTCATTCCATTCACAGACTCTTGTCAGAGAGCAGCCACCAGCTCACCTCCATCCCCAGGACTTAGAGGGACACAGGGCATTGGGAACAGAGGACACTCCAGGCGCTGACCCTGGGAGGCCAGGACCAGGGCCAAAGTCCCGTGGGCAGGAGGAGTCCTCGGAGGTCCTTCATTCAGCAGTTCCGGGAGGTCTAGGAAGCCTACGGCCTGGCTGGGGCAGCGTCAACTCCGCCAGGCCGCCATGGTCCTGTGCTGGCTGCTGCTTCTGGTGATGGCTCTGCCCCCAGGCACGACGGGCGTCAAGGACTGCATCTTCTGTGAGCTCACCGACTCCACGCAGTGTCCCGGCACCTCCATGCGCTGTGGTGATGACGAGGACTGCTTCACAGGCCGGGGGATCGCCCCAGGCACCGGTCCGGTCATCAACAAAGGCTGCCTGCGAGCTACCAGCTGCGGCCGGGAGGAACCCGTCAGCTACAGGGGCGTCACCTACAGCCTCACCACCACCTGCTGCAGCGGCCGCCTGTGTAACAGAGCTCTGGGCTCCTCGAGCAGCCAGACGGTGGGGGCCACCACCAGCCTGGCACTGGGGCTGGGTATGCTGCTCCCTCCACGTTTGCTGTGACCAACAGGGAGGACGAGGCCTGGGACTGTTCTCCCAGATCTGCCACTCCTCACGTCCCCGTCTCCTTCTCCCACTAAATGGCCAGAGAGGCCCTGGACAACCTCTTGTGGCCCTGGCTTCATCCCTTCTAAGGCTGTCCACCAGGAGTCCGGTGCTCGGGGAAGCACCCCCAGGCCTGATTGAGCAGCAGGGGAGCATGGCCTGTGGGTTTGATTGTACTACTCTATTCCACCGGTTCTAAGATGCAGAGCTTCTCACGTTTTAATCACGATGCTTCTCTCCATTGGTGGCACCTTAGAGTCCATGAAATACGGTAAAAATATATATATATACATATATATATATCTCATAATAAATGACAGCTGATGTTCATGGAGCATTCTTTGTTTTTCCTTTTCCTTTTTTTTTTTTTTTTTTTTTTTTTGTAGCGATAAGATCCAGCTATGTTGCCCGGGGGGTCTCAGATTCCTGGGCTCAAGTGATCCTCCCACCTCAGCCTCTCAAAGTGCTGGGATTACAGGTGTGAGCCATGGCACCCGGCCAAGACTGTCTTGTGTTACGTGCCACTGAATCCTCACACAAAGCTGGGAAGGTAAACACTCTTTCAAACATTTCAAACATTCCGGTCTCAACTCTAGTGGGTTCTCAAAGTGTGGTCCCTGGACCAGAAACAGCAGCAGTATCAAGTGGGAACTTACTAAGAATGCAGATTCTCAGGCCCTGTTCCAGGCACGATGAATGGAAGTGGGGTCCAAAAGCTGTGTATTGTTTTCTCTTTTTCTTTTCTTTTTTTTTTTCTTTGTGAAACAAGGTTTTGCTCTGCTGCCCAGGCTGGAGTGCAGTGGTGCAATCTTGGCTTACTGCAGCCTCCACCTCCTGGGCTCAAGTGATCCTCCCACCTCAGCCTCCTGAGTAGCTGGGACTACAAGCATGCTCCATCATGCTTGACTAATTTTTATTTCTTTAAATTTTTGTAGAGATGGGGTCCTGCTATGTTGCCCAGGCTGGGCTTGAAGTCCTGGGCTCAAGTGATCCTCCTGCCTCAGCCTCCTAAAATGCTGGGACTACAGACGTGAACCACCATGCCCAGTCTTTTTCCGTTTTCTTTTTCTTTTCCTTTTTTTTTCTTTTTTTGAGACAGAGTCTTGCTTGGTCACCCAGGCTGGAGTGTAATCGTGCAATGGTGCGATCTCGGCTCACTGCAACCTCCACCTCCCGGGTTCAAGCGATTCTCCAGCCTCAGCCCCCGAGTAGCTGGGACTAGAGGCGCACGCCACCATGCCTGGCTAATTTTTTGTATTTTTAGTAGAGACAGGGTTTCACCGTGTTGATCAGGCTGGTCTCAAACTCCTGACCTCAGGTGATCCACTGCCTTGGGCTCCCAAAGTGCTGGGATTACAGGTGTGACCCACCGCGCCCAGCCATTTTTCTTTTTCCTCTTCCTTTTCCTGAATTATCTGCTACAAAAGCTGTGTGGTTTTTTTGTTTTGTTTTTGTTTTTGTTTTTGTTTTTGTGAGATGGAGTCTTGTTCTGTCGCCTAGGCTGGAGTGCAGTGGCATGATCTCGGCTCACTGCAACTTCTGCCTCCTGGGTTCAAGTGATTCTCCTGCCTCAGCCTCCTGAGTAGCCGGGATTACAGGCACCCGCCATCATCCTGGCTAATTTTTGTATTTTTGTAGAGATGGGGTTTCACCATGTTGGCCAGGCTGGTCTTGAACTCCTGACCTCAGGTGATCTGCCTGCCTCGGCCTCCCAAAGTGCTGGGATTACAGCTGTAAGCCACCATGCCCAGCCCAAATCTGTGTTTTAACAAGTGCTCCCAGGGATTCTGGTGCATGCACAGGGTTGAAAGCCACTGTTCCTGACCAGTGTTCTCAGCTAGGCACCTGTGCTCCCCAGCGGGCATCTTTGCTGTCTGGAGACGTTTTCGGTTCTCTAATTGGCAGGGAAAGCTGGGGGTACTGGGCGTGCGATGCTACTGACCTCTGCTGGGTCAAGGCAGAAGATGCCAAGCAGCCTGCCACAGTGTACCCAACAGCCCCCGCAACGAAGACTCAGCCAGCCCAAGTGTGGATGCTACCCCTGTTGAGGGACCTGCTTCTAGAGGCTCTAACCCTATCAGCCCCGTGACATAGAGGGGGAAACTGAGGCACAGAGAGGTGAAGTAAGTCGCCTGAAGTCACACAACGGGGAACTGACAGAGCTAGAATTTGAATCCAGGCCGTCTGGTCCCAGAGCCCACACCCCTCTCCTCCCCGACTGTGCTGTGACCCTGTGAGGTAGGTGCTGTTATTATTTGCAGTTTCTTTTTTTTTTTCTTTTTTCTTTTGCTTTTTTGAGACGGAGTCTTGCTCTGTCTCCCAGGCTGGAGTGCGACAGCGCAATCTCGGCTCACTGCAACCTCTGTCTCCTGGGTTCAAGTAATTCTCCTGCCTCAACCTCCCAAGTAGCTGGGAAGACAGGGTTTCACCATGTTGGCCAGACTGGTCTTGAACTCCTGACCTCAGCTGATCTGCCTGCCTCGGCCTCTCAAAGTGCTGGGATTACAGGCTTGAGCCACCACGCCTGGGTATTTTCTTAGATGCTCAGACAGGTGGGAGTTATTTACCCAAGGCAGAGCTTAGACCCCAATCGAGGTGCCAATCCACCCCCAAACTGTTTGCCCCGTTTTCCAGATGAGAAAACACCAGGTCAAAGAGAAGCAGACTTACCCAAGACCACTAAACAGACCAGCACCGGGTCCGGCCGCAGCACGTATCTCCTCCCCAGGGGAGGGTGTTTTGTCCCCATTACACAGATGAGAAAAGAGAGGGCTGGGCAGGGGATGCCAGCTGTTCTCTGAGCACACAGAGGGAAAGTGGGGTATAGGACGCTGGGAGGTGGGGGGCGGGGCGAGGACTACACCTGTAGGATCCTGAGATGACCCTCTCGCCGTCCAGCAGCACGAACTTCTCCCGCACGGTGCCGCTCACCTGCCGCCGCCAGCGGCTCTGGAAGCTGCAGCCCCGCACGACGCGGACATCCATGTTCTGTTGGTGTGGGGAGTGGACGGCACACCCTTGCTGAGGCCCACTGCACGGATTCAGGCTCCCTCCAGGCTGGTTTTAACTGGAGGGACCCATGACTCCATAGAAGTATCTGTCCAAGGCCAGGCCTGGTGGCTCACACTTGTAATCCCAGCACTTTGGGAGGCCAAGGCGGGTGAATCACCTGAGGTCAGGAGTTCAAGACCAGCCTGGCCAATACGGTGAAACCCCATCTCTACTAAAAATACAAAAATTAGCCAGGCATGGTGATACATGCCTGTAATCCCAGCTACTGGGGAGTCTGAGGCAGGAGAATCATTTGAACCCGGGAGGCAGATGTTGCAGTGAGCCGAGATGGTGCCACTGCACTCCAGCCTGGGCGACAGAGCAAGACTCCATCTCAAAAAAAAAAAAAAAAAAAAAAGAAATATCTGCCTCGGCTTCCTCAGAGCCACTGATATCACCCCTCAGGCATTTCTTGGGGATACCCAAACTCAGTGACTCAAGATTCCTTGGGGTGCCCACCCCCACTTCCCCAATGCCGTGGGCATCAGATCCCAGGGGACCATCCCTGCTAGCATCCATCTCAATGACCCGGGGCTCCGTGGAAGGGTCTGCCCCCACCACCCCCATGCCAGGGGAATGGGGACTCACAGGTGCCCCTGGCTCGGCCCCTACCTCCGTGGCCCAGGGGTTCACCCCCAGCTGCTGGGCCAGCTCCAGGAAGGCAGGCAGCTGCTGACGGTCCAGGAGCAGGTAGACAGGTACCCAGCGGCGCATGGCAGCATCCACCAAGTCCAAAAGCAGGTCTGGGTCAGTGAAGACGTCCATGACCACGGCCACCAGCTGGGGGTGGGGAGAGGGGAGGTGGATGTGTGAACGGAAGCTGGTTCGGGGGACATTCAGAGGGTGTGGGAAGCCTGACATCCGGAATCTGGGAGTAAAGTGCTCTGGGGGCTGGGAGTTTAACATTCAGGGGGCACTAAAGGGGAGACTCCCAGACATACACTGCTGCTCAAACCGCACCGATGTGCGAATGAGCAAAATGCTGTCCTTCCATGAGATCCCCAGCCCCTTCTTGAGATTCCTGGCTCCTAAATGCTGGAAAATTGTTATCACAAATCATATGTTTGCTTGGTTTTTTTTTTGTTTGTTTTTGTTTTTATTTTTGAGACGGAGTCTCGCTCTGTCACCCAGGCTACAGTGCAGGGGCGCGATCTCAGCTCACTGCAAACTCCACCTCCCGGGTTCAAGCAATTCTCCTGCCTCGGCCTCCCGAGTAGCTGGGACTACAGGTATGCGCCACCACGCCCAGCTAATTTTTTGTATTTTTAGTAGAGATGTACTTTCACTGTGTCAGCCAGGATGGTCTCGATCTCCTAACCTCGTGATCCACCTGCCTCAGCCTCCCAAAGTGCTAGGAGTACAGGCGTGAGCCACCACGCCCGGCTTTTTTTCTCTTTTTTTAAAGACGAAGTCTTGCTGTGTTTCCCAGGCTGGAATGCAGTGGCACAATATCAGCTCACTGCAACTTCGGCCTCCAGGGCTTGAGCTATTCTCCTGCCTAAGCCTCCAGAGTAGCTGGGATTACAGGCGCCCACCACCACACCCGGCTAATTTTCATATTTTTACCAAGTTGGCCAGGCTGGTCTGGAACCCCTGACATCGGGTGATCCCCCAGCCTCGGCCTCCCACAGTGCTGGGGTTACAGGCCATGAGCCACCGTGCCTGGCCTACAAATCACGTTTGTAACACAGAACATCGTCCCCTGAGCTGCGACACTGCGGTGCCCAAATGTCCACGGCAGTTTGGCTCTAAGATCAGTGGTGGATGTCCCATAGGGCACCGTGGGCAACTACATTTCTGGGTCCTGGGGAATTTTCTGGGTGCTGGGTGCAGGAGGGCTGACCTGCTAGGCCACCGTGGCGAACCTGGGGGACACAGAGGTGCTGAAGGCCTGGATATTGCAGGCAGCAAAAAATAGTGGAAACCCTGACTCAGCAACCAGACAGCCTGGGTTCAAATCCCCACTCGGCCACTTGCAGGGAAGAGATTTAACTGCCCCCTGCCTCCGTGGTCACAATAGTCCCTCTAGTGGTACAGGGTTCTGGCTCGATGATTCACATTAGTCCCTGGGAAGCCCTTCACATGGGAGCTGGCGGACGCTAAGACTGTGAAGTACGTAGTGGGCTTTCCAAGGGCTACAGTGGGGACATCTGGGTCCTCTTGGAGGGAGAGTGGAGACCTCTGGCTTGGTGATGAGGGGATAAGGGAATGACTGAGACTGGGGGTGCCATAATTAGGCTCAAGGGGCATCGATACCTAAGGGCACCCAGGTCTTGAGGGAGG